CAGGCTATCAGATCTAGAAGGGGAGTCCATTGAAGTGACATTTTTATCCTTGGCCCAGAAACTCAGCACGGTACCAACTCTGATTTTCCTCCCGGTTTAATTACTTCCTTTGCTTTTACTGACAAGCTTGTTTTCCAGGTTGGAGTTCTATCCGAAGAAGTTGGCCGGTCACTCCTGGAGTCCAAGGACCAGGTCTCCGAACTTACCCTCCTTCTTGATTCTGCCAAGTTGGAGATCAATGACCGGGCCGAGAGGGAGAAGAGACTTGAAGAGGAGCTGAAGGAAGAGAGGGCCAGGCTAGACGAGGAAAGAGCCAACCTGGTGGAGGCGAAGAGGAAGTTGGTAGAGCTGGAGGATGCCTTGGCCCAAGCTGAAGAGACTGCCCGGTCAAAGGAGCAATCCTTTCCTGATGATGCTGCACGATGGGCGGCCGAGCATCATGTCGAGACTGCCCGGTCCATTCTAGTTGGGCCAGAGGAGACAATGGCCTTCTTCAAGACCATGTACAAGGAGCCGGAGGGCAAAAAGATGATAACCGATATCGGTTCATATGGTTTCCAATGCGGTCAGAAAGATGAGAGGTCACTCCTCTACTCCAGGCTTCAGAAAAGGGACCCTTCCTTTGACCCGGCCAAAGTGAAGCTCCCGGCCTTGTATACGGAAGAGCCAGCTCCCCCTTTCCCTTTGCAGTAGGTTAGGGTAGATAATTTTAAAAAACTTTGAATTTTCCCAAGGCCTGGGGGATGTCCGGCCTACTTCTGACTTGTTTAATATTGTCTTTTGTTTGGCATGGTTTTCAATTTACCGGCTTGTCTTCTTTCAGTTTGTATGGTTGTCCTTTTCTATGCATGGTTATTGCTTTTCTTTTCTTCTTCTTGATCGCCTTTGAATGAACTTCCAAGTCAATAAGACTAACCGGCCTTATACCTCAAGAATCGTTTTTTAAAGAATGTCCAGGCCATCTCATGTCCTGGTCCTGAAAACGTCCAGGCCTCATTGGCTTGGTTGACGATTTTATTGAATATGCTTGATTCCAAGTCAAAAGAAGTAACCGGCTTTATCCTTTTTAGTTGTCCAGGTCACCTCATGTCCTGGTCTTTGGTTAACGCCTTAGAAATGTCTAGGTCTGGTAGGCTTTGTTGACAGCGTCCAGGTCTTTTCATGTTCTGATCAATTCCATCTCTTGCAAATGTCCAGGTCATGTGATGTTCTGGTCAAGTACAAGCCTTGAAAACATCTAGGTCTTGCAACCTTGAAAATGTCCAGATCTTGTGGCCTGACTAGTCTTCTGGACCGGCTTGTGTCTAGGTTGAACTGCAACAAACGTCCAGGTCATCTCATGTCCTGGTGTAGTAGGCTAGGTTGGAAGTTTTGAAGACCACTTTAGACGCAAGGCTTGAAAACTTCCAGGTCATCTCATGTCCTGGTCTCTTGACTTGAAAACGTCTAGGTCGGTTTCTTCCTCGCCTGTTTCCTGACCCAGTCAACTTCCAGGTTCTAATGGCTTGGTTGCAATATGTAACCAGCATGA